CAGGAGATCACTGAGCTGAAGAGGAAAGACGCTGAGCTGGAGCAGCTCTCACACACAGAGGATCACACCCAGTTTCTCCTCAACTACCCCTCACTGCCAGCACTCAGGGAGTCGACACACTCATCCAGCATCAACATCCGTCCTCTGAGACACTTTGAGGACGTGACGGCAGCTGTGTCAGAGCTCAGAGACATAATACAGGTCGTCCTGAGAGACACATGGACAAACATTGAACTGATGGTCAATGAAGTGGATGTATTGCTGTCAGAACCAAAGACCAAAGCTGGATTCCTAATATATTCGCAACCAATAACTTTGGATATAAATACAGCACACAAAAGTATTTTATTATCTGAGGGAAACAGAAAAGTATCACTAATGCTTCAATCTTATCCTGATCATCCTGAAAGATTCACCTATTGGAACCAGGTTCTGAGTAGAGAGAGTCTGACTGGACGTTGTTACTGGGAGGTGGAGATGAAAGGAGTAGTTTATGTAGCAGTTTCATACAAGAACATCAGAAGAACAGGACAATCAGATGAATCTAGGCTTGGATTTAATGACAAATCTTGGGCATTACGTTGTGACAGTAAAGGTTACACATTCTGGCACAACAAAGTAAGTACTTCCATTAAAAGTCCAGTTTCCTCCAGAATAGGAGTGTACCTGGACCACACAGCAGGTATTCTGTCTTTCTACAGCATCTCTGAAACCATGACTCTCCTCCACAGAGTCCAGACCAGATTCACTCAGCCGCTTCATGCTGGGGTCTGGCTGTTTAAGCCTGGAACCTCTGCTGAGTTTATCAATATTAAATAGAGTAACTGAACATACATAATAAAACTCTTTCCTATTCAAAATATCTCCTCTAAACGGTTTTACAGTAAGTATCCATTCACCCAAAGTCACACTGAGACTTGGTGGGGAGGAAGCTGGAATCAAAGCCAGTTTTTCCAAGTTACCCAACATAACATCTGTTCTCATCCTGATGACAAGGCAGAGCAATTAATATTCACAAAATTTATATGAATATTATTACAAAATAGTCAAAATATTAAAAAAAAAAACCTTTCTGAATCATTTTAACCCACATTACACTTAAGTTTGTTCTAATTGTTTCATTTTTTCACTGATGCTGGACTATCCATAACTATTAGAGTAAATCAGTAAATATACTTTTATCTGTAAATTTGGAGTCACAGAACAATGAGGACATGAAGTTGTGTAAATGCACATTGTTTTGTCTTTTCTGTTACTGACTCTTAAGTACACAAATTGAATTCTATCTTTTCCCACAAAAAGCACTTCAGCAACCTTTTTACCAAACACAAATGTAAGTCAGTGAATGCAACTGGTCTGCTGATGTGGGCTAAAACTTCCAGTTTCATAAGCCACAATGTGTTTTTGGCACGCTGCACTTTTGAACCATTAGTCTCACACAAGTGGTGCAGTTGAACCCCCAGCCACTGCTGTGCTGGATATTTATTTAAAGGAGGAAAAGGAGTTTTATCTTTTCACTTTTGCCAAATGGATCCTCATCATGAAGGATTTCTACAAATTCACATGTCAGCTGCCTTATTAAGCTGAAATTAACTGCAATGTTTGTAACTGAATCTGTTTCAGTTCGGTCTGAACTGAGTATTTCTGAATATGATCGGAATCTGTTCTGTAACTTGCCTTAAGATTTGTTGTGAATCAGTGCTATTTCATTAAACTGAATTAAATTGACTGATGTGTGTAGAGTGTGAAGGAAACATAACCTATATGGGTGCCGTCTATTTCTGCTGTACTGGATGATGTCAAGGTAATAAAGCTAAACATTGAGGTGATATGAGGGTTTATTAATAAATGCTCTGGAGAAAATATTTAAAAGTTATAATGAGATTATGCTTCCTGCTGTTTTCAGGAAATGTTTTTAAAAAACGCTGTGCATCTATCGCTCACTGCTGCTTTCTTTTTTATCAATTAGACTTATAAATACCAGCTTATGGATAAAACTACACAGATCCAAATTTAAATACAAAATGTAGATTTTGTATCTACATTTTGATTTTAGAGACAAAATTTACTCTGAGACAAAATCTCAGAGTAAATTGAGATTAATGTTATGTCTGAAGTGCTGCAACAGGACAGGTGGAAGCAGGAAAAGAGAAATTGACAGCTAGTACTGAAACTGGCAGAATGGATATTGTAAAATGTATATTTGTCAATGCAAACAGTTATTTCTCTCTGTCTGTCTCTCAGCACTGCTTCTTGTTTGTGACTCACCCTGACTGAGACCAGTTGAGCAACTTGTCATGCTGCAGCAAGCGAAAGCACAGAGAGGGGAGGGACTTGGAGATGTCTTACAGATAAATTTAAAACATGCTGCAAGTAGTGAAGAGGTGTTTTAACTAGTGTGTTAACAACTAATTTAAGCATCTTTTCAAAGGAAAAAAAGGATATCACAGGGAAATCACTCAGAGAAATCAATGGTACAGACAAAGGGTAAGTCCAGACACATCTCTGCAAAAGACAGTTGATGTTTGTTAAAACCTGGTATAGCATGAGCCTCATCAGGTTCATGGTGTAGCATGGTGTGTAACTTATTGCTTAACATGTGGTTTCAGATCTCTGAGGTTTGCAAGAGGAGTGTGTAATTGTTAAAACCGACTGTGCAGCAAAGGTATGCCTTAAACTATCAATAATTAATTGCATAGGAAATTTACTTTTTCTAAATCCCAACTTGATTTCCAGTTAATTTTATTTCAGAAATATTAAATACTTGAAGCAAAATTATTAAATTTAGCAAAACATGATCTGCTTTTTCCAAGAACATAGATCACACTTCTTTCTGTGACAGTGTATAGCTCTGAGGTCTGATTCAGAGAGGCAAATGTTTGAAATGAGGAACCTGAAACTTGGGGAACTGTGTTGATGGAAGTTGATGAGGCAAAGCGAGGAAATCTGATGGATTCTGCAAAATTATCTTCTATTTAAGTGGATTTTTATGTTCCTTACATACCTTGTCTATGAACCCAGCAACTGAATCAGAGACATCGTTTATGTTAGAAGAATCAATAATTCAAAGTTTTCTTCTGCAAAATTATGAATCAGCCAGGAAAAGCTTATTCTTTTAGCTGGAACGCAGAAACTAGCTGCATTTCCTTTACAAATGTGTGCAAATCTTTGTATTTTGCTAATGCCGAAAAAACAAAAACTAATTTTTTTTTACATTAAAAAAAGTCTAAACATTTTTATTCCATTAAATAACAAATTAAATTAAAATCAGCAAGTTCGTTTCCATGATAAGTCATTGAAAATCATGGCAGTGATGGATTTAAACAGTTACATGACATATATTCATAATTCAGTCATGATACTACTAGTGTTCGTCATCTATGAGCCATTAGAGGAGAAGTTCAGTGTGTAAGAGGCATTTTCGAGCAATTATAGTCAGCAATTTTACAAAAGAGATGTGGATTCAGAATGACAAAAAAAGGAAACAAGACAGGAAGTGATGACTTCCATGAAACTCACAAATTACAACGTAAATTTCACCCCATAAGTGAACAGAATGCAAAATAGCAGCAAACCTGCATTATTAATCCCAAAGGAAATTTAAATGTTAAATTAAATTAAAGAGATTAAATAATAGTTCAGTGAGGTCAGGGCTTTGACAGTACCAAATGGATTCATGAATTTCAGCCACTGGTTAGTAATTTTGTGAGTGAGTGACCCTGTTTGGACCGATCTTCACTTGTTCTGCAGATGACCTCAAATTGGCCTCCAAAACACTTTGGTGAAAAGAAAACTTCATGGTCGACTCAATGACTCCTAAAAACCGACGTCCCGTCTGCAAAACATCATCACTATCATCCGACCACAATATCTTAACACAAGTGCTTGTAACTTTACTCACAGTAAGATAATTATATAAAGAAATTAACCAGAAGGGATCATAGACAAAAATGCATAAATATTTCCACTAAATGTGTTGAAATGGCCAAAAGCAGGAAATGAAGTATGAAGACGTAAGAATAAGAAATGCAGCAGCAGTCTAATGTATTTGTAGATCCTCTGCCCCTCCCAACAATTGCTGTTACGTTATTTCTTCTATTAAACACACAGCTCAGCTCTGTTGCTACATTTCCTGGTTCCTCCCATTTCACATCTGACAGCTTTATGGCTGGTAGGATCACAGAGCTGAACAACTGCTGCTGATCAGTAAGTAACAAACCGATGCTTGGCTTCTTGTGAGACACTTTTACAGAATCAATAGAAACTTGACAGATTCAGTGTTTTTGGCTCAGAGAGGAAATCAGATGTGTTCAGGAAAATTATATTGCTCCATCTGACTAAATCTACTGAAAGATCTGGTTCCCATTCCACGTGGACAAAGCTACTGTGAAATGTGTTAAAGACTCCTGGGGACAAGAAGATCAGAGGACAGTCCCCAGCTGTCCTCAGTGTAGGAACAGTTTCATAATAACAGTTCAGACGATATTCACTCTGTCTCTGCATGCTGCAGTTTCAGAATTGGCACATGAAACCATTGCTGAATTAACCAAATACAGATAGAGAAAGCAAAAGCTTGAGTTGAGTCTGACGGAATAGATATTTGTTTCAAATGATTCATATGACTTCAGGTGCAAAATGTTTGCTATGCACACACTAAACATACATCTCATATTTGTGATCCTTGTTTTTTTTTTTTTTAAACATGCCAAACCTTTGGGAATTACAGTAGGTAATGCAGTCAAAATACGTATCCCAGCTAGAATAATATGGTGCTTTACACAATCTGGAGCAGAACTATAGTTCCAGCAGGACGTTGACCAGAGCTGCACCATTTCTCACTTCTTCAATTTGTGTCCATTTTTGTGAGAAAAGAGAAACTAGTCATTCCAGTCCAAAGGCTGATGCATGTGCTGCTGGCACTGCTCATGATCATGCAGTTCTGGGATTGTAGATGTCATGTCTACTGGTACTTTTAGCAATGTTGTTGTTCGGAGTTTACAAAGTTTGTCCATTGGCTAATCAATGAGTTCATTGTTTGTGCATTCAGAGGCTTGTACGACCTCTGAAGTGGTTGTGAAAGATCGGGAGGAATCACATGGGACACATATGAAGACTGATCCAGCCAGGAAGACAGGAAGGGAACCAGTTAAAGTCAGAATCATAGAGAAAGGACCTTGGGAATCAGAGAGTAAAGAAAAAGGGAGAGAAACTGGATCATTTACACATCTGGGTTATAACCTGGAGGAAGGTGCTAGACATCAGTCCAACCCTAACCGGTTTAGCAGGTGACTCACAGAAAACATGAAATTATCTTCTTGTTTTGATTCCTCATACAACACAGATAAAACTGTTGAAGATACTTCATCAAATTACTGCTTAAAAAGTTACTCACACAGGATTTATGCAGTCATATGTTCAACAGAGAAGTCTTAAGAGTAGCGCCGGTGTACTAAGGATTTAAACTGCTCTTTAATGACACATGCAGTGATAACCACTCCCATCATTTCAAACACTGACAGCCTAACAGTTTGTTTCTTGGTTCTTTTATTCTCAGATCAGACAAATTCAGAATCGCTGTTTAATCAAGTTCAAGACCCGACAAGTTAACCTGCTGCAAATCAGTGAGTAAAGAAGAAAGAGAAATCCTTATTTGGCCTGTTGATAAACAAGGAGAAAGAAGAACTATAAACATTAAAAAGTGAAATGGCACAGCAAGGAAATCACATGGAATCAGCAAAATACTCTTGTGCGATCTGTTTGGATCTACTGAAGGACCCAGTGACTATTCCCTGTGGACACAGCTACTGTATGAACTGTATTAAAGACCACTGGGATGGAGACGATGAGAGGAGAATCCACAGCTGCCCTCAGTGTAGAGAGACTTTCATACCAAGACCTGTCTTAAAGAAAAACATCATGTTAGCAGAGTTGGTGGAGGATCTGAAGAAGACTGGACTCCAAGCTGCTCCAGCTGATCACTGCTACGCTGGACCTGAAGATGTGGCCTGTGATGTCTGCACTGGGAGGAAGAGGAA